GTTTGCCAAAAAGCACCCAAGGGACTCCGACCAAGAGATTAAAAAAAAAAAAAAAAAAAAAAAAAAAACGCTCTGGTCTGATGAAACAAAGATAGAACTCTTTGGCCAAAATGCCAAGCGTCATGTCTGGAGGAAACCAGGCACCGCTCACCACCTGCCAATACCATCACTACAGTGAAGCATGGTGGTGGCAGCATCATGTTGTGGGGATGTTTTTCAGCAGCAGGAACTGGGACCCTAAGCACACAGCCCAAATAACAAAAGGAGTGGCTACGGGCCAACTCTGAATGTCCTGGAGTAGCCCAGCCAGAGCCCAGACTTGAACCCGATTGAACATCTCTGAAGAGATCTGAAAATGGCTGTGCACCAATACTTCCCATCCAACCTGATGGAGTTTGAGAGGAACCGCAAAGAAGAATGGGAGAAATTGCCAAAAATAGGTTTTCCAAGCATGTAGCATCATACTCAAAACGACTTGAGGCTGTAATTGGTGCTAAAGGTGATTCAACAAAGTATTGAGCAAAGGCTGTGAATACTTATGTACAGGCTTTTTTTAAACTTTTAATAAACTGCAAAGATTTCAAAACGAACTTCTTTCACGTTGTCATTATGGGGTATTGTTTGTAGAATGTTAAGGAAAAAAATGAATTTAATCCATTTTGGAATAAGGCTGTAACAAAATGTGGCAAAAGTTACATGCTGTGAATACTTTCTGGATGCACTGTAAACCAGTAATAAGTCTGCCTAATTTTAAACTTTTAAACTGAGAATAGGTAAAAAATGTATATGAAAATTGTTACCAAACATGCCAGCCACAATATCCGTCACAACAAATCCAGAGCTGTAAACCGTTTAAATTGGATAAAGCGTTTGATTTTTCCTTATGAGGCTCAAATTTCCTATTTCTTCTGAAGATGGTGGTTGCCTAACAGTAATTCACCACGCAGATCTAAATGCAAAAACTCAACATATCGCAGCTTTTTAGTCTTTAGATGTGGTGGCTAAATTCGTTCTTTTAAGTCCCCCCCCCACGCTCGGCAACAGGGCCAACAACATACCCCGTGTTAGTGCCTGTTCAGTGTCATGACTGGTGTTTTTCCACACTGGAAGAATGTCAGTCACTGGTAGGGTATACAAAACAATTGTTCTCTGTGCCCTGTTCACACTGCGATAAAACGCAAACATACTGCATTTTATTGCAGCACACAGGAAGATACCGCATGTCACTGTACAGCAGAGCAATGCACAACTCTTCAGTATGGCGACATGTAGTGTCACTTTATGGAAAATAAAAGCTGTGAGGTGTGGTAAAAACGCACACCGCACTGCCCCCTGCCACCAACTCAATACCTTATTCAGAGTTCATGGTCGATATCAACAAGAATAAAAATAAGAAAAAAGAGCCTAAAAAAAGAAAACCAATGCAGCCAAACACATCTAAGGATCATTAAACCGCAATATATTGTATTTGGGTGTAGATACACTTGCAGTAACTCCTAAACAACTGACCTGGATATTTATGTGGATCAAGACTTCACTGATCTAACTTGTTTTGGGTCCATGACTAAAGTACTGGAACCAGAGATGGCTAGGCAACGAGTGCAAACTATTACCTTTTGTATCACTCAACTCTTCTTCTGAGATTGTAAGCTCTAACAAGCAGGGCCCCTACGTTTCCTCTTGTTCCAAATTGTAATGCAACTGTAATGTCTATCCTCGTTTTGTAAAGCGCTGTGCAAACCACTGGCGCTATATAAATCCTGTATAATAATAACAACTAGCCTTTTTAGGAGGAGATAATCAGAAAGCCTAAGTTTTTCTCAACTTGAAAGTCAAGTTTGGCTCTGCCCCTCCACCTCCTGAAATTCTCAGTTGACCAGAGAGGATGGCCATCTAATAAAATAACCAATAAAGTGACTTAGATCCAGAGCTGATGAATGTGCATATCTTACCTGTAAAAATAGAACTAGACTTTACCCCCTCCCACCTTCTAATTGTTTTAACTTACTTATTACTAAATTCAGCAACTGATGTGATTTTTTTTTTGTTTATTATCAGTTTTGTTGTAGGTTTACTTAAATTCCAAAATGGACTATTGAATGAACTCCCATGGGTAACAAAGAAGGAATTTCACTCCAACATCTAGAAAATGACATGCATTAAGGTGTTACTAAACCAACAGTAAAATTAGTCTGTATATGCAATAAAGCATGCTTGTTATACTCACTTTGGAACCTAAGGGGTTAATCCTCTGCATTGTGTATAAAGGCTGTTTGATCCTGTCTTCTCTGGTCCTGCCCTTTTTATACTGTCTCCAGTCCATCTGTTGATAGTACAGTACTCTAGGAGTCACTCTGCACATGCTCAGTGTGGTGTGAATTGCTAGAAAAAATTTTTTTTCCCCTTTGGGAGGGTGCATGTGATCCACACAGAGCTAATCAGCAGAGGACAAGCAGCCTCATAAGACCATACTGATAGAAGTCAGAAGACTGCTATATCTGCTGAGAAAAAAGGTATTTAGCAGTTTATTTTTACTAAAATAATTTAATTTCCATGTTCTGTGTACTGAGGGAGACCAAATAGAGTGAATGCAGGATCCTGGGTTTAGTAACACCAATCCATTAATAGGCAAGTGGACCATCAAAAAGGTGATTGAAAAGCAGCACTAGATCAATGTCTGAATGAGTACAGTTCTAGAAACACTGAATATTGAAAGTTCGTATTATAAAAAACTGCTCGTTGAGTACCAGGATGGTGGTGCTGGAATCTTGGGCGTACCCACGAAGTATAGATAAATCTGACACAGTCAACTCTTCTTTTGGCATGATACCATGACTTAGCATGCTAAGCTCTTACACAAAGTGACAAAGCAGTAAACACAGATATGTCCAACAAAGTGCAGAGAGTTATGATCCCAATTCTGCATAGTCTCCTAAGTGTATAAAAACCTAGATGTTTATTTGGTAGGTGCAAAGGCTTGAAAATTAGAACAGATTACATATATAAATGCATTGGAGCACACTTATCAATCCTGTCACAATGCAAAGGGTTAATAAACAGGAGCAGCCAGACACACGGTAGTTCAGATTAAAAGATTACAACCCAAGTCATAAAATCTTCTGTTGATTGCTCTGGAGTCTATACTTGCAGGAGCTTTAACCACTAGCCTACAGGGCACTTCTCCCTCTTTCCTGCCCAGGCCAATTTCCAGCTTTCAGCGCTGTCGCACTTTGAATGACAATGGCGCGGTCATGCAACATTGTACCCATATGAAATTTTTAGCATTTTCTTGAGACAGATAGAGCTTTCTTTTGGTAGTATTTAATCACCTCTGGGATTATTTTTTCTTAAACCAAAAACCACTGAAAATTTTGAAGAAAAAAAAAAAGTTTTTTCGTAGTTTTTGTTGTACAATTTCGTAAATAAGTGATTTTTCTCCTTCACTGATGTGCGCCAATGAGGCTGCAGTGATGGGCACTGATAGGTGGCACTGGTAGTTTGTACTGATGTGCATTGACAGGCATCACTGATAGGCAGCACTGATACATGACACCGATAGGCGGCACTGAAAGGCAGCTCAGATGGGCACTGATATGTGGCATTGATGTGCACTGATATGTGGCATTGGCACTGACAGTTGGGCACTTCTGGGGCCACACTGATCATCAGGGCACACTGATAATCAGTGCCCTGATGATCGGTGTACATGTCCCCTCCGCGGAAAGCCGATTACCGGCTCTCCTCTCGAGCTGTCACGCGAGAGAAATGCCGATAACCAGCATTTCCGTGTTTACATGTGATCAGCTGTGACTGGACACAGCTGATCATATGACTGAGCCGAAATCTTTGGCTCTTTCAGTGATCCGCTGTGTCCCTCTGGCGATCGCCACGCTGCACGCTCCCTGAGCCGCGCATGCGCAGTGAGAATGGTAGGACGTCATAGAACGAGAGAACCACTTTGCTATAGGGCGGGTGGAAGGTGGTTAAAGCAATTGTAAAAGGCACATTTTTTTCTTTTAAAACAACAAATCTATCAGGGGCAGACTGACAACTCATGGGGCCCCCGGGCAATAGGGGATCATGGGGCCCCTGTGTCCTTACCCAAACTCAAAAAAGCCTATGAAAGGTACCAGAGGCATCTTATGGGGCCCCCTTCTGACCCCGGGCCCTCGGGCAGTGCCCGAGTTTCCAAATGGTCAGTTCGCCCCTGCTATCTATATACTTAACTGCTGTGTACAGAGGATTTGCACAGAGCAGCCCAGATCCTCCTCTTCTCGGGTCCATCCGGCATTTCTGGCCCCTCCCTCCTGTTGAGTGCCCCCACAGCAAGCAGCTTGCTACAGGGGCACCCAAGCAGGCTTGGTGTCCACAGACACAGAGCTGCAGTTTGACCCCCCCCCTTTCACTGACTGTGATTAACAGCAGCGGGAGCCAATGGCCAATAAGGAGAGGGAGTCCCGGGATAGTTGAGTCTCCAGTGGACATCGCTGGATCGAGGGGGCTTAGGTGAGTTAAGGGGGGCTGCTGCACACAGAGGGTGCTTTACCCTCATGCATAGAATGCATGAAGGTATAAAACCTATCTTTACAACCACTTTAATCCTGACCCCAACCACTTACTTATGCATCCGTTTAGAATGAAAATCTGTCTGAACTTTGCAAACTGTCACACTTGACTCAGGCATATAGATACAGAACTGTAAACCTGTCAGAAACTGCTGAAGGAGAAGAGAAGCAGCCGATTTGCAACTGTGTTGTTAATTTGTCTGATAGATGTTCTCCACGTTCTGCATATTATATTGCATTACATTAAATATTTAAAAAAAACACCAAAATTTTAAATAAAAAGTTGTATACCCCAATAGATAAGTTGCTACCTTACTCATAAAATGTCATCTTAGATTTAGATTTGGCACCATGCGACAGGTTACATTTTATTACTGTTCTAGCTTTATAAAAAAAAAAAAAAAAAAAAGTCAAATGATACAATAAGAGAATTACCCCTGGGTGGGTGTAAGAGAAACCTCATAATAGGATACTTTGGTATTTCCCATCCTTCTGTCAGCTGTGGGTTTTCATTTAGAAGCGGCTGGCCAAGCTTATCCAGGCAAAAATTTGTGAAGTATAAGACACTTCCAACAACCTGTGAAAAAAAATTATTAAAAATAAGTTTTCTAGAGAGCTACCATTTAAGGCAGAACTAAACTCATCAATTTAGCAGATTCCCAAAGCAGCCACATTTAAGGCACACTGTGAATAACCGTCACAGTTGCTTTTCTCTCAATTGAACTGTCAAGCCACCAAATGGATGATGTCAAATGATCCCATGTGCAGCACCACAGATGTTAACAAGATATATATGGAGGAATAAAAAGCCAAGAGTATCATATGAAACACTAAGTAGGACTAAAGAGAAAGGGGGGGGGGATGGGACTACCTGATGTCAAGAGATATTACAAAGCAGTAATTTTAGCAAGAATCTATGACTGGACTTTTAATCACAAGGGGAAAAGTTGGGTAAAAATAGAGAATGATCTGAGTGGAATTAATTTGAGTAAGATGATATGAGTTCCAGCACATTATAGAAGAATTAAAGAGGGCACAAGCACTTACACTTTAATGGTTTTAAGGATATGGGATAATCTACATAAACACATGAAATGGGAATTCAACTCTATATTAATGCCTCTTGCATGCCTCGCAGAAAAGAGCTCTCAGAAGACCTACGATCAAGAATTGTTGACTTGCATGACGCTGGAAAGTGTTACAAAAGTATCTACAAAAGCCTTGATGTTCATGTGTCCACGGTAAGACAGACTGTCTAAAAATAGAGAAAGTTTATCACTGTTGTTACTCTCCCTAGGCGTGGTCGTCCTGTAAAAATGACTGCAAGAGCACAGCGCAGAATGCTGCATGAGGTAAAGAAGAATCCCAGAGTGTTAGCTAAAGACCTACAGAAATCTCTGGCACATGCTAACATTTTTGTTGACACATCTACAATAAGGAAAACATTAAACAAGAATGGAGTACATGGGAGGACACCACGGAGGAAGCCATTGCTGTCCAAAAAGAATATTGCAGCACGTTTGAAGTTTGCAAAAGAGCACCTGGATGTTCCACAGCACTACTGACAAAACATACTGTGGACAGATGAAACCAAGATTGAGTTGTTTGGGAAGAACACACAGCACTATGTGTGGAGAAAAAAAGGCACAGCACACCAACATCAAACCTCATCATCCCCACTGTAAAACAAGGCGGAGGGAGCATCATGGTTGGGGCTGCTTTGCTGCCTCAGGGCCTGGACGGATTGTTGTCATTGATGGGAAAATGAATTCCAGAGTTTATCAAGATATTTTGCAGGAAAACGTATGACCATCTGTCCGCCAACTGAAGCTCCGCAGAGGATGGGTGATGCAACAGGACAATGACCCAAAGCATACAAGTAATTCAACAAAACAATGGCTGCAACAGCACAGAATACGCCTTCTGGAGTGGCCCAGTCAGAGTCCTGACCTCAACCCTATTGAAATGCTGTGGCATGACCTTAAGAGAGCGATTCACACCAGACATCCCAAGAATATTGCTACACTGAAACAGTTTTGTGAAGAGGAGTGGTCCAAAATTACTCCAGATCGTTGTGCAGGTCTGATCTGCAACTACAGGAAACTGCGAGGCATGGTTCACATCAGACAGTGCTTCTTGAAACCAGTAAACCCAAAACAGGTGTGTGTTTTTTAAGGGCAGGACAGCTGTCAGCAACACATCCAATATCATCACACTGATTGGAGTCTCAGGTTGGCTCACTCCTGGCTCCAATTAGCTCTGGGAGAAGTCATTAAGCTAGGGCCTCACATACTTTTCCCTCCCTGCACTGTGAATGTTTACATGTTATGTGCAATTAAACCATGGCAACATCTAATGTTTGTGTAGTATTATGTTCAGCAGACTGTGTTCTTCTATTGTTGTGACTTAGATGACGTTCAGAGCACATTTTATGCCCAATTCATGCAAAACTCCACGTAATCCCAAGGGGTTCACATACTTTTTCTTGCAACTGTATGTTACCAAACACTGCAGTTCACAGCAAAACAGGTAAGCTGGGGTGCCATTTGCAATGAAAGGCACCACAGTGCACCAATGGTCATAAGATGTGTTTGCCCCAGTGTAGTGCTGTATGAATGTGACCTTTGAAAATAAAAACATGGGAACTCTTGCTATTGAGGCAACAACTAATGCTGAGGCAATCAGATGTTACACAAAGTCAGACAATTGCTGGCCTGTCATCTATGTTGCAAACACTGTAGCCCACTTTGAGTATGTAGCAACTGTCAGATTTCAGGTGGCCTTCCCCGATTTCTAGTAAAATGAAAGGCCCTGACAAAGTAAAGATAATTAAAAGTGATAAGAATATCTGCATCAAACTGATCTTTCACATGAAAAAAAAAAAAAAAGAAAATATAAATATACATACACTGAATGCTTCTTTAATTTTTTTAATTGTATCCACATTGGGACCCTCATTTTCCTCCAACAGAAAACTTGAGGGCTGAAAATAGAAAAAAAAAAAAAAAAGCAAATAGGATATGAAAACCACAATTTTTGTTAAGATAAACTCATTGTGAATTTAAATTCCAAGAAGGGTTACCTGAGGATTAAGATTAAATGTTGTCTTTTCAGGGTTAGTCCTCTTCTGTTCTTCATACTTTTGAAGCAATCCTGAAACAAAATCCTCAATTTCTTGATGGAATTGCCTACGAAAAAAAAAAAAAAATAGGAATTTTCTTTTAACCTATAAAACTTTTTTCCTGGAGCACATCACAAGACACAGGGTCTCTTCAAATATATGATAGGGCTAATTGCTACCAACTTCAGGTAGACACAAGAAAAAAAAGAAAAAAAAAAAAAAAAAAAAAAAAAAAAACACGCATGACAGAAAGTTCCCTGCCAGGCATAGTTTTAGGTTTTTTTTTTTCCTTTTCTTGGCAAGTCATGAAACAAAGGAAGAGGGGTGGAAGCCATGAAAAAAAAAAAAAGTAACAAATGTTCTGGATAAGAGGGAATGAAGATACCACTTTACACTGCGATCACAAAAGCTCCTGGTCACGATGGTTCACCAGAAAAAGAGATCAATACCAAAACTCTACAAGTCGAAGAAAAATGACCTTCTGTGACAGAAGGATTGTGGGACTGTCCTGGGTGGGTTCAAACAGATTTCTGCCACATATAAAGTACCAAGCTGAGGTCCCACAGAGTTTTAATCCCTGGAACAATACACATACACATGACCCCTTGTACAAAGGCTCGCACCAAGGAATGCAAAGCAAAGGGTCCCTGAAATAGACCCACCAAGGCCGAAATCTGACCCTTGAATGTACTCAAGGACAGTCCCTGGCCTAGTAAAGAGTGTATAAATGCCAGGATGTAGCGCACAACATACAGTGGGGCAAAAAAGTATTTAGTCAGCCACCAATTGTGCAAGTTCTCCCACTTAAAAAAGATGAGAGAGGCCTGTAATTGGCATCATAGGTAGACCTCAACTATGAGAGACAAAATGAGAAAAAAAATCCAGACAATCACATTGGCTGATTTGGAAAGAATTTATTTGCAAATTATGGTGGAAAATAAGTATTTGGTCAATACCAAAAGTTCATCTCAATACTTTGTTATATATCCTTTGTTGGCAATGACAGAGGTCAAACGTTTCCTGTAAGTCTTCACAAGGTTGACACACTGCTGCTGGTATGTTGGCCCATTCCTCCGTGCAGATCTCCTCTAGAGCAGTGATGTTTTGGGGCTGTCGCTGGGCAACACGGACTTTCAACGCCCTCCAAAGGTTTTCTACGGGGTGGAGATCTGGAGACTGGCTAGGCCACTCCAGGACCTTGAAATGCTTCTTACGAAGCCACTCTGTTGCCTCGGCGGTATGTTTGGGATCATTGTCATGTTGGAAGGACCCAGCCATGTTTCATCTTCAATGCCCTTGCTGATGGAAGGAGGTTTGCACTAAAAATCTCACGATACATGGTCCCATTCATTCTGTCCTGTATATGGATCAGTCGTCCTGGTCCCTTTGCGGAGAAACAGCCCCAAAGCATTATGTTGCCACCCCCATGCTTCACAGTAGGTATGGTGTTCTTTGGATGCAACTTCGCATTCTCTCTCCTCCAAACACGACGAGTTGTGTTTCTACCAAACAGTTCTATTTTGGTTTCATCTGACCATATGACAGTCTCCCAATCCTCTTCTGAATCATCCAAATGCTCTCTAGCAAACTTCAGACGGGCCCGGACATGTACTGGCTTAAGCAGGGGAACATGTCTGGCACTGTAGGATCTGAGTCCCTGGCGGCGTAGTGTGTTACTGATGGTAGCCTTTGTTAAGTTGGTCCCAGCTCTCTGCAGGTCATTCACTAGGTCCCCCGTATGGTCCTGGGATTTTTGCTCACCGTTTTTGTGATCATTTTGACCCCACGGGGTGAGATCTTGCGTGGAACCCCAGATCGAGGGAGATTATCAGTGGTCTTGTATGTCTTCCATTTTCTAATTATTGCTCCCACAGTTGATTTGTTCACACCAAGCTGCTTGCCTATTGCAGATTCAGTCTTCTCAGCCTGGTGCAGGTCTACAATTTTGTTTCTGGTGTCTTTCGACAGCTCTTTGGTTTTCACTATAGTGGAGTTCGGAGTGTGACTGTTTGAGGTTGTGGACAGGTGTCTTTTATACTGATAACAAGTTCAAACAGGTGCCATTGATACAGGTAATGAGTGCAGGACAGAGGAGCCTCTTAAAGAAGATACAGGTCTGTGAGTCAATCGCAAAAGTCATATGTGAACCAAGCCTTACTACAATCCTCATGCAAAGCCAAATCAAGCAGGTTTGTCTGTTTGTAGCAATGCCATCTGAATTCTCAGAGTAAAGCATTGGTCCTGAGGTAAGATCACCCTTGCTTGGACCATGTACAACATCAGGCCTATATTTTCTAACCTCTGGGTTAGGACTAGGGCCAACTTCTGAAATTTCAGGATCCATCTATACCCCTCCAGAATCTGCAC